AGGGCCGGGGTGGGGGGGCAGGGGCTGCAGGTTGGGAGTGAGGGGCACCACCAGAGCTGGGGCGGGCAGGGGGCTGCGGGTCGGCTGTGCAGGGCACTGGCAGGGCTGGGGGGCAGCGAGTGCAAGGAAGGGACGTTGGGAAGGGGCCACAGCTGGGTGGGGGCAGCTCACATTCTGGATGGTGGGGGCCACACGCGTGTCCAGGAAGACCTCGGCCTGTTTCATCTGCTCCAGCACAGAGTCCACTAGCATCTGGCGTGACACAAGTGGGCCTGGTCTCAGCTGTGTGGCCTGCCGGGGGGCGGGGGATCCCCTATCCCCACCCCCCAGAAGGCAGCTGCCCAGAGCACCCCTCCGTCCGCCGCGGCCCCGCGCCCTCCCCACGTACTGGGACCTGGTGCATCGTCTCCTGCAGGCGCTGGAGGGTCTTGTTCAGGATGCGCTGGGGACAGAGCGAGTGTCAGGGGCTCCAGGACCATCGAGGGACGGGTCGGCGGGGGGGGGGGGGGCACTCACCACATCACTGCGCAGCCTCGTTTCCATCTCCTCGTCCAGCCGTCGCAGCTCTTCAGCCTCGTCCCGCAGCTCCTTCCCCCTGTTCGGGGCCTGGTGGAGATGCGGCTGCTGCAGAGATCCCTGACCCTGCCCAGAGCCCCCCAGCTCCTGCCCAGAGATCCCTGCCCGGAGCAGGGACGGGATCCCGGTGACGGCTGCGAGGGGCTGTCCTGGGGGTCTGGCCCTGAGGGAGCTGGGAGGGAAGGACCCTGATGCCGGGGGGGCAGGGAATGGAGAAGAAGGAGCATGGAGGGGCTAGGGCCTCTGGGTCGGGGTCAGAGGTCAGTCCCCAGCATCTCACCTCGGTGCCTGTGGCATTTGCCAGCCTGTCCAGCTCATCCGCCAGCCCCAGCAGCTGCTCCCGGCCCGGGATGGTGCTCAGCTGAGGGGGGCAGGGGATCGGGGTCAGCATGGACTTTCCCCTGGAGGTCAGGGGTCAGCATGGACTGTCCCCTGCAGCCCCCCATGGCCCCGGTCACCTTTTGGCGGTCGGCGGTCAGGTTGGTGAGGCGGGTGGTATTGCCAAGGGTGCGGAGCAGGTCGGTCTGCTCGGTGCTCAGCAGCACGACCGGCGCCAGCGTCAGGTTCGTCTCGGCGAAAGCTGCGTGGATCTCGCTTGTGTACTATGGGGTGGGGGGATGTGAGCACGGGGGGCCGGGCCAGTGCCCCTCACTCCCAACATGCACCCACCGGGCACAGGGGTGTGTGCACAGGGCAGACAGGTCAGCAGCAGGACAGACATGTGCACCCGCACAGCCATGCACACGTGTGCACACAGCCATTCAGGGGCGCACATCTGTGCACACGCACCCATGCACCTGGGCCTGAGTGCACACATACACACGCACCCCCGTGCCCACACACTGACCTGGCTGAGGTTCAGCAGCTCATCCAGGGGCACGGTCTGTCCCAGGTCCAGGGCACTCCACAGCGGGGCATCATGCTGGCACGCGCTGGGGGGGGCAAGGCTGAGACTGGGGCAGGCAGCTCCCCAGTGCCCCTCACTCCCAACCCACAGCCCCTGCCCCCCACCAGCGAGTTCCTGCCCCTGACCCCTGGGGCCTGGACAGGCAGAGGAGAGCAGGGATGGGACCAGACCCAAGGGCACCAGGTAGGGACAGGCGAGCCCCCCGCACCCACTGGCACTGACTTGTAGACCTGGGAGAGGTTCAGGGTCTGGCCGCGCAGCCCCAGCGTCTCTGGGCTGAAGCCGGGGATCATGCCCTGGGTTTCCAGAAACTGGAGGCAAAAGTGGGGGTGAGAGCGGCTGAGACAGAGGCTCCAAGCCCGCCCCCGGCCCCCCCAAGCCACCCGCCTGCACCGAGGGCAGGAGAAAAACGGGACCCCCCCAGGCAGCTCCCACATACAGAGAGCTGGAGCTGGAGCTGGAGCTGGAGCTGGAGCTGGAGCTGGCAGGGGCTGTGGGTCGGGAGTGAGGGGCACCAGTGGACTGGGGCAGGGGTCCCTCACCTGGAAGAGCTGCCGGTCGTGCCAGGCGCGGCAGACCAGCATGTAGCCGTTGCCCCCCAGCAGGAAGGAGAGCAGCACCAGCAGCATGAGCAGCCAGGAGAAGAGGAAGCTGAAGCCCACGCCCCTGGGGGGGACAGCAGGGTCAGCGCTTGCAGGGGGGGCTCTGGCCCGGCCCTGCCGCATGCACGGGGTGGGGGGTCCCTTACGCCAGCAGCAGGTTCCCACCGATGTTGGGCAGGCAGCCACGGTCCATGGGCAGCGTGGCGGGGTCCAGCCCCAGCACCCCCAGCACCAGGCCGAGTGCGTAGCTCAGCACCACCAGCAGCACCAGGCAGCACAGGCAGATGCCCGCTATCCACCTGCAGGGGAAGAGTCAGGCCCTTAGGCGTGGGGCCCCCAACCCCCCTGGGTCTCCCAGGCACCCCCATTGCAAACCCTGGACCCAGGGCAGCCCCCCTGGGCCCCACCTGTAGTGGTCAGCAGCCTGGACGAGCGGCTCGTAGCGGGCGGCAGAGTGGGCGACGCCGTGCAGGGTGGCCGAGACGTTGCTCAGGGCGTCCAGGCTCGAGAGCTTGTCCCGAGCCTGCTGCAGCTCCCCCCGGATCTGGTCCAGCTGGGCCTGCGCGTCTGCAGTGGGCGGCATGCGGGTCCGAGAAGGGCCGGGGAGGCCCCCCCGGGTCCCCACACCGGCTGGGGCCGGGATGCAGAAACAGGAGGTCTGGTGGGGGGGGTCTGGGCTGGGGTGGGGGGCACCACTTACCTACAACCAGGTCCCGCGTCTCATTCTCCACCCGTTGCGGCGTGTCGTGCAGTGTCTGGTTGGCCTGGACCAGGGTGGGGGAGACGCACATGGGTCACAGCCTGGCCCATGGCCCCTGGCACCGGTAGCCCCATGGGAGGTCAGGGGGGTCTCACCTGCTGGATCACAGTCCGGGGGTCGGAGCGGGTCAGGTTGTCCAGCAGCTCCAGCTGGTGCCCCGCATCTGGCATCTGAGGGGCGGAAGCCTGCAGTCAGCGGGGGCCGGACCAGGAGGGGCTCGGGCACTGCAGGGACCCCCCAGCACGGGACGTGCACCCCCCTCACCAGGCTGAGGTTGGCAGGGGCACGGGGGCAGTGGGGCTGGGGCTTGCAGGACTGCCCGCAGCTCTCCAGGGTGTGCTCAATGCGGGAGCACAGGGCGCTGAGGTTGTGGCTGACGCCATCCAGCCCGTCCTGCAGCCGCTGGCTTGAGTTGATCACATCCCGCAGATCCGTGCGCAGGATGTCCAGGTCTGCGGGGACAGCGGCATGGCCTCAGCCCAGGGCGGCATGGCCGGGTGCAGCTCCCCGCACCCGCGGCCCCTCGTACCTTCCAGCAGGCGCGCGGCGCTGTCCAGGGCTGCCTGCAGCTCACGGCCAACACTGGACACGATCCTGCCGCCCAGAACAGAGCTGATGTCTGTGGAGTCAGGGCGTGGTCAGGGTAAGCCAAGCCCCCACGCCCTGCTGCCCGTGCCCCCCAGACACTCACCACGCAGGCTGGCGTTGGCCTGGTCCAGAGGCACATGGCTGCTGTTCACCACGAAATCCACCTGCTGCAGGGACACGGCAAGGTGTCAGGCCCTGGCCACGGCCCTGGTATCATGTGCCCCCCTCTGCCCCTGGCCCCCATGCCTGTACCTGAGGGATGTTGTCCAGGTAGGTGCGCAGGTTGCCCACGGAGCTGTTGAAGGTGCCGAAGCTGCTGTCCACGGCCTGGGAGATGCGCGTGTTGGCGACAAAGGCGCAGACGTTCCAGCCCCTGCCGCGACGGTGGGGTCAGTTCAGGCCAGGGGCTACACCCATCACTGCCAGGGACCCCAGCCCCCACCCCAGCAAGGCTCATGCCCAGCTCTGCCTCAGTTTCCCCCAGCAGCAGTGGGGATGAGTCCTCCTAGGACTAAAGTGGACGGGCTCCCCCGGGTGCCCCAGGGGCCGGATCCCTGTCTGGAGCTCCCTTTAGATCTAGTTACACTATGGTGGGGAGTCTTAAATTCAGGGGAGACTACGGTAGCCAGCCTGCAGCTGGGCATGGAGACGCATGGTCCAGTGGTGCAAGGGGGAGCCAGAGCCCCAAAGGGGTCATGCATGGGGTCACATACAGAGCCGGGGCAGGAGAAAGGTTTCTGCCCCAGGCAGCAAAGGGAGCATTCCCCAGGGCAGTATAGGGCATATCATAGATTCATAGAAGTCGGGTCAGACGGGACCTTGTAGATCTTCAAGTCCGACCCCCAGCCTGGGCAGGAGAAAAACTGGGCTCAAATGACTCCAGCCAGGTAGACATCAAGCCTCTTCTTAAAGACCCCCAGGGTAGGAGCCAGCACCACTTCCCTTGGAAGTTGGTTCCAGCTCCTAGCC